GGTAAGGTAGTAACGGCCTACACATGTCCCACTGCTGGGCAAAGGCCTCCTCTATAGAGAGGGTATCAGGACATAGTCCACCACGCGGCCCCACTGCGGATTGGCGGACTTCACATATCTTCGAAATATTTTTTTTTTGTTATTATTTCGAAAATATGCAGGTTTCCTCACGATGTTTTCCTTCACCGCGGAGCACGTGACAATTCAGCACTTAAAGTTAAAAACTTCATTGGTGCCGGCACCGGGGATCGAACTCAGGTTGATCGAGTATATATTGAATTACAGGCGAGCCCCTGGATACTGAGCTATCACGGCTCTCACGGTAAGGTAACCGGGGCCCATTATATTAGAAGGTGACAACGCCCAAGGCCATCTGCAACCCTACCGGTGTTGCAGATGCCCATGGGCGGCGGTTGTCACTAAGCAGATGAACCAGCGGTTCGTTTGCCATGTTCTACCATAAAAAAACCAAAGCAGATATTAAGTTAACGAATGACTTATACATTTTCCGTCGAGACATCACATCGAGATCCTCGACAAACACTTCAACGTGACACGAAAAGGAATTTGGCACAATATTAATTGCCAAAATTAAAGAAAAAACCGAAGCGAAACAATAAAAGCGAAATGCTTAGCACGCAAAGGAAAAATTTAGTCAATCCCAGGACGCTAGCGAGTCTCGCGTGATGTTGAGTATTAAAACTAGACCTAAATACATCGGCGCTTTATGAGGCGCGGGGCGAAATCGTTGACGCAAAAAGCGAGGACTGGAAGGCCAAAATTGTTTTGAATCAATGCTGAATACTCGAGGGACAAGAAACTTACAATTTTAATACATTATATCCATTTCAATACTATTTTCTCTACTCTTTTTGGCAGACTATATTATATAGTCCTATAATATGCCACTTCCACAGTTGAATCTAATGATATCTAATATGTTGAAATCTTTTAAAAAGATTTAGTATAATGAAAGATAAGATATACTATGTAACTTGCGACGAGGATTGGATAATTAGTATATATCACTATAAGTAATCGGGAACAGATAAAAATAAGAGAGCGTCCACACTTGATCCAATCCACGTTTATTCTTATTTTTGACACAAATATTTTGATCCTACCATCAAATTCATATAATAATTTAAGATATATTATATAAACAATACTTTATATATATATGTTTGAAAAACGCGCGAACTTCACTGCGTAAAATCCATGTTACTTTCAACAAGTAGAATCTAATAAAAACTGATAAATTAAAATCCATAAAGTTATTTAGGTTATAGAAGTTTGCAGATAGACACATATGGGGGACGCAGTCACACAAATAGCTGGAAAAATATTGTCATTCTTGTGGCTTAATTGGGTAATAAAAAAGATTCGAAGACATCAGCCGCCTTTGCGCAAATGACACAGATATTGAATAAAACTTATTAACGAATTTCTTAATTTAAGTTATGTTTTTACAAACAAATAATTAGTTACGTTAACTTGATAAATAATTCATTTTGTCTGCTACGTATCAGGTACGTGTGTACCTGCTACGGTGCTACGATGATATACGTAGCAGGAATACATTTTAGTCTTACAGTATTGGTGGTTCAAACCAGATTGTGAAGCCGAACAATCTCTAATTAAATTAATTCAGATTATATACAGGCAATCGAAATTAAATAAGCCTCTTATTCAATTTCAATTGACTCGATGGTCCTAGGAAGGAGTTCGTATTCCTTTGCAAGGATTTTTGATTTGTCAAATGTTACATAAAATCACATAAATTGTTAAATATAACTATTAATTAGAACTGTGTAGTATTCACAAAACCACAAATAAATCGTTAGTAACAAACTTACAGACTAAATAAGGGTGTTGCGCGTCAGTACACGCTATAGCGCTGGCTGAATAACTTAGATTGTGTATTATCAGGCGTCAGTTATTTAATGGACAGGGCGCACCAATTAACGTGATTGCTATCGGCTCACCGCTTTTAAAAGCGCTGATTGTTAACTGTATTGTAACGTCGACGGGCATTCTCTCGCTTTCATTTCAGTTTTCGTTTAACAATTTCGTTTCAACTTAATCGCGGTTTAATCCGACCTTCGGCCCTTTGCTTATAGAATTTGTAATGCCCTTTTAGTAGCTGTTTTATTTTAAATGAATTTTAAACGATGATAAAATGTTTGACTGTGTACCTTCGCTCAAAGTGTCAATCCTATGTTCTTCTTTTGAGTAAAAACCCATAACATAAAATTTTTTAAGCAGACTTAAAGATGTCATGCACTTCACCTATTACAGTTTTTATTTTTAGCATATAAATTAAACATCTTATTTATCCTGGACTTGCTTTTCCCCGGCCATCCTGGTATCAAGTCAGAAATGATAAATACTACGTTGGTAAACACTTCAGTTCTCTAGTATTGCACACTGATGACAACATTCTGCAACAGCAAACCTTCAGCGGTCTGTAGATCATTCAGGTAGCCGGGGCCCACTATGTCAAAAGGTACCAACGCATCGGCAACAACCCTAAGGGTGTTGCAAATGTCAATGGCGGTGGTTATTTAATATCAGAACTGCCAGCTCACTTGTAGCATTGTCATAAAAATATTAAAGCTTCAATTTATAAGCAGCGCCCATAATCCATACGCAAGGGGAAAAATAAGTTAATTCTGTTTTTTTTAATGTACATTTAGACCCGTGCGTCACCGCCTTTACGCAAGTACGCCCTTTAATCGCGATAAGCGCAACCATAACAGAAATTAGTCCGACCCCGTAAAACTAAGCGCCTAAAATATTTTTTCTAGGACGATACTATTTTGACTCTTTACTTGAAAGTACGCGGTTAAACTCGACACCTAACCATTCTTATTAGTAATCAGGTATGAAGTAGCGAATCAGTAATGTGCAAAATGTAATAATTGTTTATCACAGAATAATAATAAATAAAAAAATATATAATTGTTTATCTATCACATCAGTAAAGGCCACAGTTTCTAGAATTGAATCGTGGCCACACTACGGATTCACCGGATTAGTCCGTGCTATAAAATTACTGTGTTGTTGTCGCAGACAGCAACTTCTTTTTGGTTTGAGAATGATCGTATTACTTTTTTATTTGTTATAGTTCAAAGTATAATAGTAGAGTTCATATTATTTATATAGCGTACTTAGCACAGCCTTTACTTTAACAAGCTCGATGATAATTGTCTGTCTACATTTAAACATCCAAAACGAGAGAGCTTTTATATATACTAGCTAATACCCGCCACTTCATCTGCCTTGATTATTACGATAACATCGAAAAGAACACAATCAAATATATAGTTACTTAGAATAATTTTGCGACAGCTTATAAAATCGTTGTTTCTTAAACTTCAATAACATTAAATTAAATGAAGATATCGCATATATTGATTGATATTCTTTATAAGGACCCAAGTGCCTGTCAAATAAAACTTAGAACAACTAATTGCAATTTATCCAGTAGTTTTTCAGAGCCAGTGTCATGTTATTTATATATCTGAGTTAGTAATACGTACCACATTTAAGTTTTGAATATTATTTTACACATAACTTAAAAAGTAGTTTAAACGTTTACAATATCGTTTTTTTCATCGAATTAGTGTGTGTAGTTTTATTATTATGATGAGTTAGTAGTGCTATTTGACCGAGCACACTTGCATTGCTGCTGACATTAGACTCTTCGGAATAGAGAAGCGCATGTTTCATAGCAGAACAATAGGCTGTAGACAGGCCCGTGGGTGATTCTATGTCCCGCAATGACATAAGCCGCTATTAGTTGGTGCGCGTGATTAAAACATTCCGTGTGACAAGGGGACGCGAAAGAAAAAAAATAATCATCGCGTACGCCATAATAGAGAGGGTCCCATGATATATGGATATATACCAATGGGTCGTCGACAGATCGCACCCTATAACGAAGGCCCTTTTTACCGATACAGACAACGCAGTCCGTAGAGCTTGTGGATGCAGCCTCGCCACCCTATTCTAATAGTCTGCGACATTTGATTAATGGCCACGCTTCGAAACGAGGGATTCGACGGTTGGCATATCTGGTTCATTTCTTCTGCCTATGGCCCTTCCTTTGTGTTTCGAACTAATTTTAATGTGCACCGATACTCGACGTCTTTTCGAGTTCGCCGTGAGTGCAATTACTTTTGTCAACTGACGCACCACATCGTTTTACGTTCGCTTTGATTGTAATGGAGGACGTGGAGGGTAAGTTTTCTATTTGATTTATTTTTAAGATTGCGTTATCCTTTTCTTGTGCGTACAATTTTGTTTTTATTGTTTGTAATGAACAATTGGAAATAAAACTTTTCAAAACAAGTTTCGTACAACTAATTAGCTGTTTAACGATGAAAACATTGCTTGACGGAAATTGCATCACGACGTATAACAATATTTATTCAATATGGAAGAATTACATTCACTCATTGTTTAAATACACCTATTAATTCTGAAAAGAAAAGCCACTGACCCGAGAAGAGCCGGCGATAGAAACTCACCAGGAATTTTTTTACACATTAATTGAAATTAAATTATGTTTAATATAAGAGCTTTTGACATATAGCCTGCAACGATCAATTGATTTCGATCGTATACAATACTTTGAATAATCACTAATATTATAACAAGCTTTCACACACAAACGTTCCTTTTGATTTTTTTTTATTTTTAGCCCCTGATACATTTTGAACGTTTACTGGGATTTATTTATTTATTTGTAAGAACTTATACATTGTCCCATAAAAGATTTACCTATTGTATCCAAGTCTAGTTGTTGGTAGAAACAATTTATATTTGTTTTATGATATCATGAACATTATGTGTTGAATATTCATTTTTACTCTTATGGACTACTCTTACTTGAAAATGTTGTGTGTTAACATTTTCAAGTATGTACTGAGAAGCAAAACGAACTCAATGGCTTAGTAGCACTAAAATGTAGCTACGCTATGGCTCTGATTCAGTTAATGAAAGGGCTTTTAACCCCAAAGGAGCAATATGAACACTACTCTAGTATTCAGAATGTCTTTGGCGCCAGAAGCCCCCTAGAAGTTCAAGCCAAAGCCAACTGCAGTAACACATTTCGCGAGGTAGCCAACGCGTTCGGCCATCGATGGGAATTTCACTCGCACGCGCGGATTCGGCCAAATAAAATTTCGCCCGAAATTGAATCGACCGCGCGGCGCAAGCAGACCGTGAAATTGGACGGCGCGGCCAGCGGGTCATTCCGCGTCTTCGTCGTTATCCCTCGTGAAGTACGATTCACACCGAACGGCATTTGTCGGTGAGTGCTTAACGATGTAGTAGACTAGCTCAAACACTAAAGGTAGCTTAAATGCTATCCCTTGGAACCATTTGAATTTTTTTTGAGAAGGTGGCAAACTTACTGGCGGTACACCTGATGTTAAGTGATAACCCCCGTCCATGGACATTTGCAAACATTAGGGCTGCAAATGTGTTCCCATCTTTTAATAAACTGGGCTCCGGTTCCACCGGTACCTCACTCAACAGACGAAATGTAGAAGTATACCACTTCCACTTCACGCCGGTCTTCTGTGAGGTCGTGGTACTTCCCGGACGGACCTGCCCATTCGTGCAGCGAAGACTGTTGTGCGGCCCCACCACAGTCAGATTTCAGTATCCAAATCGCCATAACTTAGTATGGACTAATGCACGAAGACTAGATGAAATCCGCACCGCGCCGATGCGCGACGTATCGTGTGAATCGTACACAACTTGATCCCAATAGCTTATAGCCCGACTTCTGAATTATACATGTGGGTTTGATGCGCGATTTGAGCGTCCGTCCACCCAAGCTTCGACCGCTACGCGCGTCCATTTTCGGATTGGAGTAAAACCGTTTGAGATGTCGCCAATTAACGTGTTTCTCTTACCAGGTATTTTGCTTCGTTGAAATGGCTCCAGTGCTGCAAACCTAATGTTTATATCAACGTCTTATTTAAATGTATATTCCACGATTTTTTTACTAGATAAATTAACTTTGCCCATTTATCTTCGACCACGAATGCAAATTATTAAATCATCGAATTACAAAACCCTCTTCCATAATACGACATACTTTCTCTGTTGCCGTGCAAAAACAGACGTGTCAGTGCCCCGTAGCAGTCGACATTAAAAGAGGGCTGAGAATAATATACATAAATCAGCGAATCTACAAACAACGCCCATACAACTAAAAGAACCGGAATCGAGTCAGGGCCAGCCCTAATAGTGCATTCGCAATACATCCGATTCCTTTCTGATTCACCCTCGGTCATTAAACGGTGATGCTGCGATGGCTCCTTTCAACTGACCCCAGGAGCAGTCTCAATAGCGAGCTTCACCATTAATTCATGGGGACCTTTTGTACCATCAAACAGCGATGGTTGGAAAGGAAACGGGAATTTCACCGTCTTAATACACGGCTGATGAATATCCCTGTATATTGAGCTAGCAAACACGTTAGTTTTTTACAAACGTTAGTGTATTAAAGTAGAAATATAGCGTACTAAATATATAGAAGATGGCGTCTTAGCTGTACGATCTCTCGTTACAAAGCGTAACAAAACATACAATACGATTAATTGACAAATGACAACATGATAAAATAATGAATGTTGTAGTTATATCGGATAAAAAAAATAAAGCCAATACGAGGCTTAACACTATCTCATTTCGTAATCTGAGAGTAATAATCTGTCGCAAACACGTGGACCCATGTCAACTTGTCGATAAAGGGATGCTTATCAACATCTCCGTATTTTATCTAAAACAAACGGGAGATAAGGATATTTTTCATTGTTAGATCCGTCGCATGTTCCGGCACCGACAAAGCGTTAATAAGTTTGAAAAACAAAGTCAAGAACAATACTTTATTCATAACATTTACGCACATTTAATACGTTTAATTCTCAACTTTTCGAGTACTTTGCAATGACATCAATGCTTCGGTTCGGATGGTCACTCGCATGAAAATAGTGACAACAAACAAAACTTTCAGTTTGCATTAGTTTGACGCTTTAATGGACGTCACAACCTATCAGCGACCTATACAGTTTGAACTTTTTAAACGTCATTTCAACAGAAGGACTAAAAAGTCAAAATATTTCCGTCAGTCACATTGCGCGGAAAATAAAAGTGCATGAATGTTGGCGAACTTTTCCGTACATATTATGTCAATATCAATACAGTTATAACGCGAGTAAAATCTTTTAAGTTTAATAATAACACATCACTAATGACAGTAACATAATAGTTCAAGTCTACTGGTAACTCTTCGAATAAGAAACGATGAAAGCACACCGCCTTTGTTCAAAGATGAGCTTTGCGAAACATTACACTAGGTATCGCGAGGTTTCGCAACAAACGGACGACTGCAGCGACGCAGACTCCAAATTGAATTTACAACTCTCGCTCCGAGATCCGATCAGTTGCCAAAAATTAGCTCGGAGAGAACGCAGCTTAAGCCCCTGCCGCGGAACCGAGAGTTGCGGGCTTTTGCGCTGGAGCTATTGAGCAAAAGCCGCGCGGCTCGCGGCATAAAGTTCCACAGTTTCGTGTTCACCGTTTCGAAGTAAGCCATCTTTTATGACACCAGCCCGTTATCCCTTTTAGGTATTACTACCCAAGAAATGCACCGCCCCATCTTTACTGTGAGAGCAGCCCGTTATCCCTTTTAGGTATTAGGTCCTACCCGAGACAGGCACCGCTTATATACTACAACAACTACTTTGGTGGGCAGTGGTAATGTGTGGGCTTAGTCCGAAAACAGGAAAGTTGACCGTATCTGTCTCAGTCTCTGAAGATCCGAACGGAATACAGGAAGGCCATAACAACACATCCCAGAAGAAAAATAACTTTTGCAATCTCAAATAGTCAATATCACTAATCGTCTTAATAATACTTTTTATTACGACGGGAGAGCGCCCGCCTAAGAGAGTTGTCGGTCGTAAGATGTTTTATTTAAACGGAGCCTGCTCTCTGATAGATGAACGCGTCTGTGCGGTCAGAGGACGGGAAATTGATATTTCACTCGGAACGGGGGAGCGGATCGACTTGTGTTGCTAGCCGTGATCATTCTAGACGTACGTTTCATGTGTGAGCGAGTGTATATTGCATGAATTCAATTCTCCTAGAAATGAATTCTCTAAGATACACATTGTTAAAGAAACAGACATTATTAAACTAATGAACACGGGTAATGGTAGTAAACACATAAACCTTAGTCTTGCTATAAATACACATTGTGAGAAAATGGAGAGATGGCTGCAGGCAAATTGTTTCACTATATTCGTGTACGATCAAAGAGCGATAAGAAGAGATACAACTTCTATGGTCATCATGTGAAATATATAAGAAAATATTAGACGTTGTCATGGCAACATGGATAGGAATGTACATGTACCATTCAGAGTTGTGCTTCAAAACGATTCGCCAAACGAATCAGAGGACGCTCGTTTATAGCTCCAGAGACCGGAGTGAGTTTTAATCAATGGATTCCTTTTATCCCAAATCGAGTTGCTTATTCAATAAAGCGTCGATTATTGGGAAATTCCTTCGCGGGAGACGGGGCGCGTCCGCGAGCGGGGCGAATTTAAATATTAAGTAAGTAATGAACGGAACAAATAAATCGGCCCTCGGAACTCCGATCGCCGTCGCGGACTTTTAACGAGACGCTCAAGTGGTCCGGACGGTGCGGTGAAGGGATCGCAATAAAAAGTTGCTTTATCTACATTGTTTTTTAGCATCTGAAGCAATGCTTGCTGCATCCATCGTTATATCCTTTCCAGCATACAAACAGAGTTATACAACCCAAATATCACTGCGAGAACATTTTAGATTAGATTTCGGTTAATCCTTTACAACCACATAACACTTTTATAGCCGGAGTGTGGCGCAGTCTTAACACATAATCTACTATCAGGCCAGTTGCGATGCCCGAAAAGCTCATAACGTCGCATCTAATGAAAAAGACAACGCGTCTCGTTTTATCTTTACAGCTTAAGGGGCCACGGCCTACGGTTACACGGTGATCACCTTAACTGGCGTCTCGTACTGCCCAATAATTGGTTTACGGTGTTGTAAATTTAATACGTCACGGGTTTATACTAGCTACGTCACAGCGGAGTAGCAGACGCTTACGCGAATATTAAGGATATTTAACGGTGGCAGGGCCACGCAACAGTCTTCTCTGTTGCACGATTGGGAAGTTACGTCCGCGTAAGTACCACGATCTCACAGAAGGCCGGCGTCATTTGGAATTGTTATATTCATGCGTTGCGTCTGGTGAGTGAGGTAGCTGGGGCCTACTTTGTGATAAGTTGGCAACGAATCTGCAACCCTGCGGATGTTCCAAATGTCAGTGGGCGGTGGTTATCACTTAATACCAAGTGAACCGCCAGCTCATTTGCCACCTTCTCAAATTAAAATAAAAAAACAGAGTACTTGTGTTAGTTTAGTGTCTCGACTGGAATAATTCGACCTATTTGGCGGAGTGGATATTGAACTTGTCTCTTGCGCCAAAGGGTGTGGGTTCCATTCCCATTTATATGTATTCATTTGTGTGTATCGCTATGTTTAAGTGATTATCATACCTAGTGTCCGTGTCGCTAGATAACGGTGTGTTAAAAATATGTCCCAACAAACGTTTCAGTTATTATAGAGTGAAATAAATCAGACGCAAAGCGTGAAACTCTTTTTTTTAAGTTGGTTGAAGTTTGGTTTTTAGCACAAGTTACTAAACAGAATTCTGCATTTGAAATGTCAGAAATTATAGAGTGAAACCTTTTCTGCCATTTTTTTCATTCATATGTGTGTGAACATACTGTTATTAATTAGTTCAAATTATTATCTATTCATATATAAACCGGTATAAACTATGCCTTAAAATGTATTAATATTATATTTTGAAAGATGTAACTAAAAATATAAGTTTTAATAGTTCGTTAGTATTAGATACCCTCGTTGTTAAAACACAAACTGTAGATATAATATAATACTTCACTATCATAACTATTATTTCAAGTAAATACCTGAAACAGAATTAGATTTCTGGCATACGCACTGGATGATTTTCATTAATAATTGGCTCTTCTACGCCTACGCGCGGCTACGCGGCTACGTCAAATAGAGTATTGATGCCCGCGGTATTATAATTAATAATAAGCTGGTTCTACTAGTCTCCTACGATGCCTACGAGGCTACGGCGAATAAACCGGGAGAGAATTAATTATAGCGGTATAATTGTTCACCCTGAGAACACATTAAGCTTCAATTTTCGTGAATTGTTGAAGGTTTGCCGATCGATCTTTTTGATGCTAAGTGAGTATGGACGTTTAATACATACGGGCATGCATAACTCAAAGAGGTTGTGATTGCGTTACCGACGTTAGACTCACTACTCAGCACTCCAGCACCAAACTGAGGTCAAAACTATAAACGAGTAGTTTGTGTTTTATCCAGGCGACAGGAACTGCAACAAGAAGTTGTTACGTCGCTCTACCGCGGCAATTTGTTTTCGAAATTGAATAATAACGACTATTATTAAATTTCTCATAGATAGAGACATTATTAAATGAGTTCGTGTTTGTTCGCACACACACCAGTTGTCGAACACGACAGATTTCGTCAAACAAAACTACGCGCGGACGGATCGCTCCTGGGAACTATTTTTTTTCGCCGCAGTCCCAGTTTACATTTGTCAGATCATCGATCAATATTGTGTATACGTCCGCGCGGGCTTAATTTATGAGTTGTTTACTCGGCACACAAGCTAACTGTCACCATAAAATTTCGCGCCACAGACTAAACAATTCTGACTACTAAATTTATGCGTATAAGATTCATATTGCCGTTTCCTAGACATTCGCGAACGTAAAGTTCTGAAGGAAATGCTAATAGGTAAATAGCGTGGAAAAATCTAAGTACAAAATATAAGTTTGGTATCTATAAAGGAAATAAAAATCCCGGCAAAACCCTTATCAATGATAAAAATTAAAATATAATACAGTGCAAACATTCAAAATTTTAACGATGCAAATATATAATCATATAACGCGTAGTAAATTAGGATTATTGCCGTGAAATAACGCTTTTTCACAAGTCGAAACGACAGCGAAACTTTCAAATTATACTTTCATTTCTTTAATAGAAAAAGCCTTTCGAATTTAGTCCGATTAAAATCCCTACGGTCCCATTAATTTAACAACATCGTTTGAATTGGAGAATATCATTTGAAAATATCTAGTAAGTATATCAAATACTTATTACAGCCTATTATTCTATTTTAAGTAAGACTTTATAAATGTAGATAATGATAAAATGAGATAAAAATCCAACGCCTTATGTCTGTCAGTCAGCAAGACTGACAGACATAAGGTCAAGTTCGTGGTTCAAACTGCAGTAATATACAGGGTTTTTTCATACGGAGTAGATAATCATCAGGATCCAACTCTCTTTCTTTTCTTTAGAAAAACCAAGTCTGCCTGGTCTACATTATTTCTCAGTTAATTAAGATTAATCTCTGATTATCGGTATTAGTTAAATGAAATAAATTAATTGCAACACTTAATTTAATACATTATCTATGTTAAAATTTTATGTATTATCTGTGCCTACTTTTCATTACAAAAAGATTTTTACTCAGTATTGCGAATTTTATTTTAATCATATAGTTCTGTAATTACTTAAATACTTTCGTAAAATGTCATTTATAGACCTACTAGATTACAGGCTAAATATACAATAAGCCCTTTGAACGGCCATGCAACTAGCTGTGTCACCATAAACCGTCTCCTGGTATCCAATCGACGAAGACGTCACTATAAATTTGCGGAGCGCGGTCCCGCGCGGTGACGGCCCACGAATTGGACAAAAGCGGTGGAATGAAACGAAACAAAAAAAAAAAACAAGAGAGGCGAAACGAAAAAAAATGGAGGGAAATGCGAAACGATCGCGCGCGAAAATGGCCGATTTAACTTTTTCAATTAAACCCCGGGGCCCCGGTGGCGCGTCCTGACCCAGATAGGTCCGGGAAGGGACGCTTTCGGCGGGGATGCGCCGTGCGTTGCCCAATCGAATCCTGAAGGGTGAAAAGCCCGAAAGAAAGGAAACGGGTTATGGCGATTTCCAATGTGCCTGTTAGGATGGCCGGTTGCTTTTTTATGTATTTTATTTACGGTGGTATGGCCACGCAGCAGCCTCGGCTGTTGCACGAATGTGCAGGCTCGTCCGGGCGAGTTCCACGACCGGTGTAAAGTGGAAGTATAATACTTTCGCGTTTCGTCTGGTGAGGGAGGTGGCCTGTGCCTAATTTTCAAAAGGTTGTCAACGCATCTGGAACCCTCGGGTGTAGCAGATGTCCATGGGCGGCGGTATACACTTAACATCGGGTGAACCGTCTGCTCGCTTAGCAACTTTTCATATTAAAAAAATGTATAAAGTTGGCAAGCAAGCGGATGGTTCATCTGGTGTTAAGTGACTACCCCACTCACCACACCAAACTCGAAAGCACTTTAATACTTTAACACAATGTTTTTTTGTTATCATTTCGAGAATATGCAGGTTACCTCACGATGTTTTCCTTCACCGCCGAGCACGTGATTCAATACTTAAAATTAACAATTTCAAGTGCTGTCAGTGGTTCGAATTCAGGTTGCTCGAGTATATTGAATTTGAAGCGAGCGCACGGACACTGCTACAACAATTCGAACAATCAGTACTCAGTACACGATTCAAATTGAACGTTTTCAAGATTCTTCACAAACTTAAGCTCGATACAATAAGAGAAATAGTTCAAATTAACTACTATTTGCCTTCAGTCGATCAGTTTTCGTCACTGCGTTCCCAACGCGTTAACTAGGCAATCATTTAACTAGCTAGAGCGTGTCCTTATATACCAATAACCAAAACCATACACACGGACGAGTGCTTCTCCAGTTGAAACGACTCAAAGGGAAAGAGAAAGGAGACAATTGGATTTGTAATTTAGGTAGGGCCACGAAACAGTCTTCGCTGTTGCAAGAACGGGAAGGTCCGTCCGCGGAAGTACTACGAAGAACAGACCTATACTACTAACAGAAGACCGAAGGACCAGAAGTGCAGTAGAAGTGTTACACTTCCGCGTTTCGTCCGGTGAGCTGAAGATGAGCAATAAAAAATATTACAAACCTTAGAGGCCCATCTTTATTTAAAGCGTGGTGTCGAAACAATTCGGCCGGTGCGGTTACGATACGCACCCACCCGTACATAATCCGAAAGGAGTTGACGCATCGAATATTCTCGAACGCTCACCGATAAACCATCTCATAATTCATAAAGGGGCGCACACCCTTTACACAATTTCATTTCGTCTCCAAATTTTCCTAGATCAAATTGTCTGCGAAGGCCACAAATAAATGCTTGGCACGCGTTCACTCAAGTTGGTGGCTCTTGGAGTTTATCGTTGCCGTCATTGTTTACTGGAGCAAAGATAAAAATATATTACAGATCTATGCCACAGGTATATTTTTTATTTATTTATTTAGTTATTTTATTTATTTACACACAAAAATTTTAATTATTTATTACACCCATACAATTTATAATAACAGTACAGTAATTATAACTAAGTGTACAACTTTTTTAAGGTAAACACAACATGCACACATAATGAATGAAAAAAAAAGTTAAAATAATGAAAAGCCTACTTTATTACATTAAAAAAGAAACAATTTCGTTTTCTAATAAGTAGTAATTTTCTAATAAGTAGTAAACATTAGATACTTAACATTTCTTCCCCGTACTATCTAATCTTAACCAGACCCTTAGTCTAAAAGAACTTATAGTTTATTAGAAAGTTAAAACCCATTTTTGAACTTGTCGCTATACAAAATAAATATATATAAAAATATCGATCGGTTTAAGTGACCATATAAAGTAGTGTTAGTACTGACACCAGAAAAATATATGCTTCGTATCGTATTCAGTTAAGGTCGCAGCGGGCCTAATTCAACAGACTATCGAAAAAAATCCCTATCGAATTTCCAAGTCTGACTGCGCGTGCCGCGGCGGCGCTTAAAAGTTGGGAAAGCGACCAACACAGCATACCTACTCGCGCGTCGAACTTTCACGACCACCGGACTACGTAGGTGGGCTCACTGCGCGGCGTGCGTCTGAATGAGCGGGCGGAGGATAACCTTGTCCCAATTAAAGTTCCAATCAACCCAAAGTGACCGGGAAGACCGCCGCCAAGTGCGCGCGGAGTCCGCCGAATGCTCCCGAGCCCACCCGAAGCGGGGGCGATCGATACCCCCCAACCCGCCCCCCGCCCCGCCACGTCCGGGGGGCAAAAGTCACGCTTTCGGCCGTCGAAATCGGACCGGGCCCCTATAGTGCAGGGCGGAGGGCCTGCGTATACGTGATTTCGAATCTCGCACTGAGCGGATGTCCAGATTTGCGGCGGTCAACAATTGTAAGTCTACTTGCATCTGTCTTTTACGCGCGATTAGAATGTTGCATCGGCTATATTATGACTTCAGGATAAATACATTATTTATCACAAAAGAACACAACATAGTTCGCTTAAAACGTGATAAATATATAGAAGTCTTAAATATATGTATGACACAAACATCAGTCTCTGACGGGTACCAGAGTTTTTAAATCTAAACAACTAGTAATTTGTTTAATAGGCATTGAAAAATTCAATGGTTTTACTTTGGACTTCATGTGGTATTTATTGTTGTTAATTTTATTTAAAGAAAACCTGATATATGTCATCAGTTATCTTCGTTATTAATTTATACACAGACATGTCAGTGTGGTAAGATTTGTGCTTATATTTTCAGTCTCCTAACTGGAATATAATTTTATGTCTATTTAATAACTTAACGTGACTTTCGAGATAGATAAGTACGTCACAGTCATAGCAAAGCATTTTGAAGTAATTACAGTTAAAAAAAAACGCAAGCCGTTTATTATAAGTTAAGAAAAATGGAAAAAAATACCTCGTGTTACTGTGATTGGTAGGGTTTTGGATTGAGATGGTCGTAACAAAACGCGTGGAATAATACACGGAAAGAAGCGAGCCGCTCAAATTACGAGAAGCGTCAGTCTTTGGTATGTAGGTCACGACAGCGTCGCGGGATCCGTAGGTGCAGAGGCGCACTATAAATTTGAAGGATCCGGCTTCGAGCCTGGATGTCACTTCAATTACCACTGACGGTGGTAGAGCTACGCAACAGTGCTCGCTTTATTAAGAGGTGGCAACCCATCTGCAACCCTACGGGTGTTGCAAGTGTCCATGGGCAGGCGGTTATCACTACATCAGGTGAACCACCAGCTCGTTTGCCACTTTCTCACATAAAAAAAAACTAGGTTCTGCCCGCCACTTCATTCTCGTGTGTTAAAGGGAATTAAATGGCATATTCCATTATCTCTAATAGGGAGTGGACTTTTCGAAAGTCCTTTTGCAGTTGCCAACGCAACTAAAGGCCGCGATTGTCAAAATTATAAATCCGTGGCGCAGTGGTTTAGGCTGTAAGATATCTCGATGAGGCAAATCTATGTTTAATGGCTTATAAAATATAGTAGGTACATTGGAATTAATTAATATCATGTACTCACTAATCTAACTAATATCATGTACTCACTTCACATTGCGAGGAAAATAGTATGTCAGAGAAGTATTAAAAAGACAGTAGGTATACAAAATTAGGAAATCCGAAATGTCCATACGCAATACGCCATGCTACAAGCGAATGTCTATGCCCACCAAGGGAATATATCAACGTTCATATTTTAAAAACGCAAAGTAAAAAAATTGAAACATTACAATGTGCGAAACTTATATGAGATTATTTTATGTGATGTTGTCAAGCGAGCCGGCGGTTCACCTGATGTTAAGTGAACACCGCCGCCAATAGACACCTAAAACATCCAATGGCTTTGATGATTCAACAATATAAACCATAAATTTTTATTTGATGATTTTGCATTCTTAATAACAACATAATTTCAAGTAAATAAATTCTTAAGCGAATAAATCTAAAGACGTAAACTCCAAACCGCGATTCAGCCGTCGTAATTAAATTCACGAATCTAATCTTTCAACTTTACTTAATATCACACTTAACTCTGCATAATACTGGTATAAGCGGCGGCTTAACTCGGAATTAGCAAAACTTAAACTTGCCCCAAATGTTATTCGGGAAACGACTCGTGTGGTTAAGTTACGAATCGAGACTTAAAGGTGGTTTATACTAGGTATACAAAATGTCGATTGGTATTAGCATATCATAATATACATTTCTCGTATTTTTAAAACCAAAATGGTTAAAAAGTCATAGTGTCCACGTCACACATATATAATCACAAGATATAATGTGGAAAAATTACTATGTAATGTAAGAGACTAGGTTTTTATTTTGATTATATGATTCGGAGAGAGATTTATTTGACTAATGTTATATAGTTATAGATTAAATAATATGTAAGAACCCAATCTGTTAACAAAATCAAATTTCAATTAAATATACATTCTAATTTAACATTTAATAATTAACAAACAAACCAAAAACTTTACGCATAAATTAACAAATTATTTCATGAAAACGTTATTCAAGCGATATTCAAAAGGTAAAATAGATTCTTCAGAAAACAGACCTGATAGTAAAGTTGTTTGGGTACAAATCGCTTCACTAATTTCATTTATAAATTTTAAGTATAAGTGAAACATTTCAGTATTAAGCGGTTCATGCTATAGAATCATAACTAATGCATGGCTATTAAGTAGTAATTAACAAGTCGACGCGAAAGATATATTTCAGACTAGCTGCTGCCCGCGACTACCTCTGCGTGGAATAGACTGAAGGTGAAACATTAAGATAGAAAGACAGATATACATAAAATATGTAAATTTATTATAGCCTATCTCTTATTCTGATGTATAAGCTATATTATTGTAAAATTTCATTAAAATCCATTCAATAATATTTGCGTGAAAGAGTAACCAAACATCCATCCTTACATACAAACTTTCACCTTTATAATATTAATAAGGATATATTTAGTAGTTTTTCATACAAAATGATATTGATGGCGTAACATAATTCACTTAATTCCTTGGCAGCAAAATCTATGGACAATATTGGCCATGATGTCAGATAGTGTCGTGTATTGAAAATGAATATGTCCGTGTTTTGTTTGGTACGCTATCGCAGTGGCCCGAGAGCGGTCGAGCAGTTTGTGTTGACCTAGAGTGTACATTAATGGCTATGGTGCAAGCGACGAGGAATCGGCGATAGTATCGTATTAGCTCGGCTCATATTTGTAAATCGACTAATTGCATTGCATTGATTAACGTTTTATTTGGAATTTGTATTGTCAAATGTTAAAGCATATGAATAATTTAGCATTATAAATGTTTAAAAGCATAATAAACAATACTTTGAATAATAATTATACAAATGTATAATAATTTTAAATATAATTATACAAATGTATATAAGACACAGAAAGCATAAATACAATAATTAAGGTTTATACCGAATATATACAGCATGTCGTTACCATCACGACAATAAATGAACACACGTCTAACGCTACTTGCCAATAATCATAAAAAAATATTAACGTTAAACAAAATCCATAATTAAAAAAGTATATTTTTCAAACAAACTAATTAAGTAAAAAAGAAACAAATTTGTAACATCCTATACAACTCGCGCCACAGCGTCGCATTACAAGCCTCTCCTTCTAACAGTATGTTTTGTCTCTTTTAAATTCATTCAACCCATTCATATGCTTTGTGACCTTTACAAATGAACGTAACGTAAAGCGTTACGCTTTTATAGGTAAGGGTGTTCTAAAATTCTTTGTTTTGGAAAATTTAATAATTCTGTAAATATTGATGTTTAAAGAATTTAAATGTTTAATACAACTTTAAAAAGTTATCCCCTATATGTGTGTTCATTTATTGTCGCAATGGTAACGACACGCTGTATAACTGCAAGTCCCTCAATCTCTGTTGCTAAACTTGTATTTAAAATGTTTGATATTTTCTGTGTTTCAAATGACTCAGTCACAGTTGCTAGGCTATTAGTTATGGCGAGGGTCGTGGGTTCAATTCCCACACGGAGCAAGTATTTGTATGGCCCACAGATAATTATTCCGGATCTGTGTCTATTCTCAAGAAGTGTTGACGTCCGAAAGACGGTCGGTAAGAAATGAAACCTACTATAAACAGCATCCACATGTCGTGTCGAACCCCACCTAGGTCAGGAAAAGAAACAGTTTAAAAATCTCCGTAAATAAATAATAATATAATAATAATACTTTATTTGCTATTTTTATTTTTATTTATAAACCCAACCAGACGAGAAAACAAAAAAAAAACAAAAAATACTTTATTTGCCATAACTAGAAAAATACATAGAAAAATGTGAACAAAAAAAAAGATACTAAATAAAACTATAACAGACAAAAAAAAAATTAAATAACATTTTGGCAAAAAGGTTTTATTTACCTTTTTGCCAAAATGTTATTTAATTTCATATATTTAATCTCAGCGATTTCTGAGAATTTCTCAGTGCTGATTTTCAGCTTATCCCTATATTGTATGAAGCTTTACATCATCATTTACAAATATTGTATATATAAGTAATCATGTACAAATGTGAACCTGACAAGCCATAGCTCGCGATCCGCTCGTGACTCGGACCGCGCGGCATAAGCTTACCGCACTAAAGTACACAACTTACTCTCCTGTGTGCCGTAAATTTACGATGCATGTGCTTCGGGAATTTCGTTACGGCGCCCAACCGTATGCGGATTACGACGCCGATTTTTAGTACAGCGTTAGGCAGCAAGGTCGATAATGCTTTGCGCTTTTCGCGCCTTATATTAATAGCTTAGATTTTTATTTGAGCCAAGTCTCAACCTAATTATGGGAGAGCTGTCATATTTACAGACACTTTAGGACTTGCTTTCTCGTCGACGGACGATTCGTGATAATTCACGCATAACCTTAAATTAATCAGTAATATTTAGGTTATTATCCATACCGCAAAAATATAATTTAAAATGTATTAAATATTGCTTTCTCGTATCCTAATGAAGACTACGAGCAGTTATCCTTGACTCCCACCGAGAAATGATAATATGTTAATTTTAGTCTAATGTTTGTTTTACACGAAAGGCTTTCATGCCTTCCCGTGATTGTTTCGCGTGGGTGAGAAGCTAATAAAGTATGGTCAAAATTCATTGTTATTGATTGTTATTTAGCTTTTAATTCTGATTTAGGTAAAGCACTGAACGACGCAGGTAATCTCCTACATGTTTAAAAACGGGAAATGACCTTCTAAATGGTTGTTTCAAAATGTTTGCGGTCA